CTGCAGGGAAACGAGGACAAGGATACACCATCAGCAGAACTTCCTGGGAAGTGCAAAGTACATATTGACACTACATATATACTCATAAAAATATTTATGCAGCATTTCTTTGGCTGGAATATTGGCAAGTGACTTTTTTCAAAAGGCTAATGCAGTTTTATCTGACTAAAATTAACAGACTTCAGAATCACAGGAGGCAATGTAAACACCTCCATCTCTTGTACAGGAGCAGTCTGGTAAGGAAGCAGTTATGGTTTTATGTGTAAAAGAAATTATAGAATCTACAGGAAGTCATCTAATTGAAGATGAAAAGGCATCTATAGTGTTTTAATTAGTTCAAATAACTGTCACACCTGTTACCTCCCACTAGTACAGTAATAAAATGAAACCGAGAGCAGAGTTTAAAAAACATGTTTGAAATGGACAATGTGCAAGTCCTGGAAATGACTTCTATAGATTCTGCCTAACATGGGTTTGTCACAGCACCTGAACACGCCCATCCTCCAGGTGTGCACATACACACCTGTACATAAAAATACACATAGAAAAAAAAAACCACCAAGTTTAAAAACTTTAATTTATTATTTTAAGCATTTCAAACCCTTACACGGTGAAGTTAGAAATCTGTTTCCCAAAATAAGAACTTTTAGCAGGGCCTGTAGCAATGGGACAAGGGGTAGCAGATTTAAACTACAAGAGGGTAGATTCAGACTAACTATAGGGAGGACTTTTATTACAGTAAGGGTGGTGAGGCCCTGGCAAGGTTGCCCAGAGAAGCTGTGGCTGCCCCATCCCTGGAAGTGTTCAAGACCAGGTTGGATAAACTTGGAGCAACCTGGGATAGTGGAAGGTGTGCCTGCCCATGGCAGGGGTTTGGAGCAAATGATCTTAAAAGGTCCCTTCCAACCCAAATCATCCTGTGATTCCATGATCCCTTTCACCACAGGTGAATGCCCCCTTGTCTAAGAGAGTTCGTTTCCCAGTCAAATATCTACAGAGCCATTTTAAATTTGGAAATAACCTTTCTTTGCAAGCAGGGATTTGGTCTCTTAGCAACAGCACGAACACCTCGTGAACCAAACTACGGCTTCCTGGCACAGCAGGGCCTCGTGCCATGGGCAGGGAGAAGCCACAACAACATCCAACTGCTGGTTCCTTCCTTCAGTGACTGATGGAAAAGGGGCAGGGCAGCAAATCCCACAGTGAATCCCCCCATCAAGGCCCCGGTGGAGGTCGACAGCTGGACCATGGACAGTGTGTTCCATGGACTGCTCTGCCTCAGCTGTGTTTCCCAGATGTTGGTTCTGGCTAAAGCTGCAGCCTGACTCTGGCTTTCAACAGACACCATCATTTTAAGTAGCCCTAATGCAGACCAGGAATAGCTTCTTCTCTGGCTGGGAAACTTGTACCACAGCAGGACTGGACTGAATGTTATCACTGTGCTTTTATAAGATTCAGATGACAGCCATCATTTTGGAGGGAAGCTATTTTTTGTCCTTAGCATGAGCATGAGATATTACAATTGCAAGCACTTCACAATAAAAAGAACAAGAGGTCAGAGCAGCACCATCACATGGATATATTTCAGTTGGCTTTGACTATCAGCTGAATCAGTCACCTGAAATATATTGTGAAGACAAGATCAAACGAACCCGTTCAATGATAAAAGACCAGAGAACAGGCAAAGAGGGCATTTTCCCTTCCCTTTGCTGCTGTATGGAGAGTACAGAGTGTGCAGCTGTATGGTACAATACAGATTAGAATGGACTTGTGCTCTAAATGACCAAGCTTTTGTCATTGCAATACCCCCCTGCCTTGTCCAAGTCACATGACCCACAAATTTGAGCTATTAGAACTGTTCTAGAACAACAGGCTTATTAAATTGCTTTCTTGGAATCTGATCACTGGGGACACAGTGGGCACACAGCAGAGACTGGGGAAAGAGTGACTTGCCCAGGAGTGCAGCCAAAACTTAGCAGAAACTCTGCATTTCTTCTCTGTCTTTCGCCTTGTCCGTGAAACCATTGCCCTTCTGGACAACTGAGTTATTGGAGGAGAAACTCTTTCTGTCTCCTTCCTAACCAGGCCTCTAATCAAGTACTGCTTTTCCTGCACAATATTTATTTCCCCAGCAAGATACTGAAGCTGCAGCGTGAGGCAAGGAAAGGGGTTGGTATATTTAACCAAGTAACACAACCCACAGAAAGTTTGTATCACAAGCCAATTCATGTGTGTGTTCTCCTGCCATTCACACTGCTAACTGTGCTCCAAATTTTACTGCCCTAATAGATGTTAATATTAATCTCCATTTTATTCTATTTCCCTGGACTTCTTTCAGAAGAGCTGTACAAAACCAGCTCTTTCTGAGCTTGAATTGCCTCTCACAGCTTGGGGAATGCCGTGGTTTATTAACTTGCAGTGCCACCTAGCACACGGCCTTCACATTATTTTTTCTGTCGTTTCACAATGCTCCAGATTTTCATATTAAAAAAAAACAAAACCACAATCTTGTGCTTGAAGTATTTTAAGCATCTAGTGCAAAGTTTTGTTTTGAACAGCTAAATTTTTATTAGAAATTATGCTTTCTAATAGGATAATAATAATCAAGATGCTCACATGCCTAAAATTCTGGTGTGTGAACTCTGAGGACTAGTTTTGGTTACATCCCTTATATAGTTGTCTACAAATACCTCTATTAATTGTTAGGGGATTTTTTTTTTAAATCCTACACTTTGATAGCAGGTCAGTGATGAATTTATTGAGGTTTTGAGATAAACAGAGACTCCTGCCAGATTATCAAAGCACATTAGTACAATGTCTGCAGACATGTTTAAGACTGGTCTGCAAGCTTGACCAGCTCAATTTGCTTTGCCTTAAAATACCACCCATGGCCCAGGAATAAACAAGATTAGAAATGAACTCTGCAGCCATCCCAGAAAGCAACACATGGGAGACATTAAAAGGCAGCAGTTCAGCCCAAATGCTGCAGCCACTGTGGGTCCCCTCAAACCTTGAGGTGGGAGCTGTTCCTGTGCCAAATCCTAGGAAGGCTTTTAAAGCTAATATAACCAAGCAGGCAAAAGGCAACCTTGTGACATCGAGGGAAGGACAAGGAGATAAACCCTCTGTGCTGCCCCACCTTCTCCCTCCTGGTAACACATCCCAGAGCAGCCACATCAGAGCTCCTTCAGAGCCAAAGCACCTTCTCTTCACTCACAATGGCAACACCCACCAATATTTCGACAGTACTTTGGCAGCACTACAAAATCATAAAGTTTTATTGCATCTCTTAGAATTTCTAAGTGGAGTTTCTCTAACAGTAGAGAAACCACCAGGTGTTTTATGGAGCTCAAGAATTAAATTATGTCAAAATAAAAGATAAGTTTGCAATAATAAGAATGGTTTGGGCTTAGATATGATTTTATGATCCTTGATTTTTCAGCTTATCTTCAAAGAGCCCAGCACTGCTGAGGGCTGTATTTACAGGATGACCTGTGTATCAGCTCAGCAAGCTAAGGGGAAAAAAATTAAAATAAAATTAAATTAAATTAAATTAAATCCCTAGCATGCAAAGAGTGAAATTTGACAAGCACTATGGACCCCAGCTTTATCTGAGAGACGTGGAAGATGTTTCCATATTTGCTGATGATTTAATTGCTATCCTAAGTCAAGGAAGAGAATATTTTTTTCAAAGAAACCTACATTTTGCATACTCCCTTGAGAGCAGAACTGACCACCAGTTCTTTCCCTCCTCTGTAGAATACCCTCCTCTATATTGTATGGCCCAATTAGTTCTGTACAGAAGTCTACATAAAAATCACAGATGTATAATTCAGATGCTGCACTCCTGTAAGAGCTTTGGAGAGTCCCTGCAGAATGGCGGGAATGGTCTTCCCAAAAAGCCATTTTAATAGAAAAGATCCTTGAAAGTTTGTCTCTCATCAGCCTGAACTGATGCTTTTTTTTTTTTTTTTTGCCAGTTCTGATATCAGTCTGGTTTGGGTCCATTTTCATTCATCCTTATCACTGTGTTTCCACAGAATTCTCCAGAACCTTCACGTGTTGACTGTTTTCTGTAAAGCACAAAGACTCACAGCCTGGTTTCCTGCTTGAAAATGAGCTACAAGAAACTCAGGTTTAAATTTGCTACAAAATATCCTCCTCCTTCTGTCCCAGAATTTGTAAACACGTGCTGCTCAATGTTTAACCAGAGTCACAGAATATCCTGAGTTGGAAGGGACCCTCAAGGATCAGAGTCCAACTCCTGCTTCATTGATAGTTTAATGAGTCCTGAGAAGGGATGAGAACACCAGCAGAGAACATTTCAGGACAACACACAGGCAAAACAAGTCGTAACAAAGGAAAATATTCAGATTTAGAATCCAAGTCTTTCCCTTCTCTCCCGGTCCTTGGAGTCTCCTTGCTGGAATGACTGGAAAGGAGTCCCTTTTTCAGGGCAGATGGGGGTGTGACACACTCCCTGCTGTAGGTGGTTCAGAATTACTGCTACTGCTGCCTTTAGTGTGCCAGTCTCTCCCTGACATCACAGCAAAGTCCCTCTGGTTTCCAAATCCCACAAGAGGAACCCACCAGGACCTAAACATTCTGACTGAGCTGAGCCTCCACTGTCCACCTGAAAAGCACATCCACAAACACTAAAACTTAGTTTATAAGTCATGTCCTCCCACACTTTCATTGTCCTCTAAACTGTGAGATACAACTTTGTTCATAAACTCACATCCAAGACTGTCATTGCCAGAACCATGGTATCTTATAATAAAGCAGGAGTGTGGCTGTTCTCAAATTTACTTTACTAAAATATACCTTTTCAACTACTAATTATAATGGAACTATTCTTTTTCTTTTTTTCTCCCCCAGTACGATGTGAAGATTAAGTCGTGACAGGTGTTTTTTTCTTCCTTGGGAAGTAAAGAAATCCATACCTTAATTAATATAAGGAGATAATTACTATGCTGAAGTGATGAGGCCTCAGGCAGCTCTGTTGAGAAGCTATTTATTTCTCTTTCTTTTCATTCAGTTCAACTACAAATACTTCTCAGATGTGCAGAGCTCTCCATGCCAGCAAGCCAATAAAATAAACACGGACATAAAATTGCCAAACAAAGAGAAAACTTAAGAAATAGGTCTTTGTCCTTGCAGGAGGGAGGATTAAATATGTATATTTTCTTCTCCTCTCCCACCCCTTATCTCTCAGCCTCTGAAATCTAAGCACTGACAAAAGCATTTTCCGTCTGTTTTACAAACTTTCTGGGGTCAGACTTACATCTTATTAACAGTCAATCTCAGTTTCTCTATTCAAATTGGAGAATCCACTTTTTTGTCGGCCCACAAGTGCGGATGGCTGGCTCTGGAAGTTCTTAGCAGAACCCCCTTGCTGTAGGTGCTGTTCTCTGCCATAAATACACAAGTTTCCTAGAGAGAACTAAAAGTTGTTGACCACAATGGTCTCATCAGTGCTGCCTTGGCAATTCCCTGTGACAGATTAGTGCTGCTACAGATCAGCTAGAGATTAACAGTTATTTTTTTTAAATTGCTTCATGCACTGTTTCCATCTCTAAAGGATTTTGGAGATTGAGTAAAAACATGATCCCTAAGCTTTGGCATTTTCAGGTTACAATTAGTAATTAGGAGCCATTCTCAATCATTACATGCACAATTCAGTGGTTATACCAAGTCTTTACTATTAAATCATAACCAAGAAACACATTTCTCTTCCATTCCCATGGACAGATTCACATCTTTATAAAAATAATCAGACACCTAGAAAAATACATAGTGTTTTTGGAAAAAAAAGTAACATAAGCAACATGGTATTTCTGTTTTTAACATGAAATATAGTCATTACACAAAGAGGATGAAAACCTATGGAACCTACTAGGAAAACGTGGTTTTTTCCCCATAAATTTCTAATACTGAGGGAATGTTGGATCAATTTTAGTGGCCCAAGCCATGAGCCCCCCTTTAATATCCTTTGCTAACAGAGAACCAGATTCTTTGGCAGGTAGCTCCTGCAGGATTTTTACAGCCTTCTGGGAATCATTTCCCAATTTGCAAACAACATATACAGGAAGAGATGCTTGGTCGTTAGTTCTCTGCTTTTCTTCGCGAATTCTTTTTTCTAAGTACTCCAGCTGTTCTTCATCCTTCTCTTCCAGTTTGCTCAGCGGGATGTGGACGGCGTGTTCCAGGCGGCAGATATCCACCTCCACCCGCGGCCGGACGTCCAGCAGCACGTGAGGGACTTTGTCATCCAGCACCTTCTTGTACTGCTCTACCGAGATCCTGTCCTTGCTGGGCAGCAGATGTAGAGTCCTACACTTGTCGGTGGCAGAAGACCCACAGAACGCCTCGTAATCCTGCAGGCAGGTGACGGTGGGGTTGGCCCCGCACACGGCACAGTCTGGTTTCTTTGGTCTCAGCCTGATGTTGCGAAACCTCCCTTCGAGGGCGTCGAACACGAGCATGAACTGGTTGAAGGAGGAGCCCATTCCCGAGGCGATCTTGAGCACTTCCAGGGCCTGGATGCAGCCGATGATGCCGGGCACGACCCCCAGCACGCCCCCGTCGGCGCAGCTGGTCACGGTGTGGGGCGGGGGCGGCTCGGGGAACAGGCACCGGTAGCAGGGCCCCCCGCGGTAGTTGTACACGACGAGCTGCCCCTCGAGGCGCAGGGCGCTGCCGGACACCAGCGGTTTCCCCGCCAGCACACACGCGTCGTTCACCAGGTACCGCGTGGGCGCGTTGTCGGAGCAGTCGGCGACAATGTCGTACTGCCGCACGAGGCGCAGCGCGGAGCGCGGGCTCAGCGCCCCGCAGTAGGGCACGTACTGCACCGCCGAGTTCAGCCGCCGCAGCGCCGCGGCCGCCGAGGCCGCCTTGGGCCGGCCCCGCCGCGCCTCCCCGTGCAGCACCTGCCGGTGCAGGTTGCTGGTCTCCACCACGTCGTGGTCCAGCAGCCCCAGGCGGCCCACGCCCGCCGCGGCCAGGTACTGCGCCAGGGGACAGCCGAGCCCGCCGCAGCCCACCACGAGCACGGCGCTCCGCGCCAGGCGCAGCTGGCCGCGCACGCCGAGCTCGGGCAGCAGCAGCTGCCGGCTGTACCGCGCGATCTCGGCCGCGCTCAGCGCCGCGCGGGGCGGCAGCGGGGGCAGCTCGGCAGGGAAGGCGCCGCTCATCATCACCCCCTCCGCATCATCATCACCATCATCGTCCTCGGCGCTGCCCGCGTCCCCCCGCGCCAGCAGGTCCCGCAGCCCGCGGTCTCCATCCTCCTCCTGCTCGGCATCCCCCAGAGACACCTCGGCCGCCAGCCGCTCCCGCGGCCCGCGGGCTCCATCCTCCTCCTCCTCGTCCTGCTGCTGCTCGGCGGTGTCCCCCCGCGCCAGCTCAGCCTGCAGGCGGTCCCGCAGCCCGCGCAGCTCCCGCTCCCGCCGGCGGATCTCGGCCCGCAGCCGCGCCGCCCCCGCGCCCGCCATGGCCGCGCCGCTTCCTCCTCCCGCCCCGCCCCGCCCGGCGCGGCGGCGCTTCCGCCGGGCCCCGCGTCACTGCCGACATGGCGGCGCCGCGCCCCGAGCGCCTGTCGGTGCTGCTGCCCACATACAACGAGCGGGACAACCTGCCGCTCGTCGTCTGGTTGCTGGTGCGCACCTTCCGAGACAGGTACGGGCTGGCGGGCAGCGGGGCCGGGCTGCACCCCCGGTGTGGCGGCGGGCGGGGTGAGCAGGGCCGGCGGTGTCTGTAGGGCCGGCGGTGTCTGTAGGGCCGGCGGTGTCTGTAGGGCCGGCGGTGTCTGTAGGTCACCGGCCGTGACACCGACACGGGGACGGCACAGGTCCGGAGGGCAGGAACATCGTCCGAACCCGGAGTGAACTTCAGAATTGCAGAATTCCAGAATCATTGAGGTTGGAAAAGCCCTCCCAGACCATCGATTCCAGGCTGTGCCCGATCCCCACCTTGTCCCCCAGCCCAGAGCACTGAGTGCCACGTCCAGTGGTTCCTTGGACACCTCCAGGGATGGGCACTCCAGCACCTCCCTGGGCAGCCCCTTCCAATGCCTGATCACCCTCTCCATGAAGGAATTCCTCCTGATGTCCAACCTGAACCTCCCCTGGCGCAGCATGAGGCTGTTCCCTCTTGTCCTGTACCTCCTGCCTTGGGAGCAGAGCCCGACCCACCCACAGCGCGGCTCTGACCCCACAAAATCACTGCTCTGGTTCTCAGCTTCCCGCCCTTCACAGGGATTTAGGGAGGGAAACGGGGTTTTCCATTTGTTCATTGAAAAATAATTCTCATTTCAGTGGAATCGATTTTGAAATTATCATCATTGATGACGGAAGCCCAGATGGGACACAGGAAATCGCTGAGCAATTGGAAAAAATATACGGATCAGATAAAATTGTGAGTTGCGTCTTCTGTAATTTTTTTTCCCTAAAAATGAAAAGTAAACTTTAAAATATTTTTATACCTTGAAAACAGCAACTTTTAAGGTGTCACTAAAATGAATTAAAAACTGTACTTCAAGTAATATATGTGTCTTTTATATTTTCTGCAGCTTCTGAGACCCAGACCAAGAAAGCTGGGCCTGGGTAAGTCCTTATTAACTCTAATTTAGTAATATAAAAACTTTGCTGTGTACTTTGATTGATCTAGTGCATAAAGGTCCAGAAAAAGGTCACAGTAAAGCCCAAAAGCAGAAATGTATGTTTTCATCAAGTTGTTTGCAAGCAAACAAGGTTAAAAATGTACACATAAAAATCCCGTTGTGTTTATAAAATGTTTCCCACAACTTCATACCTGCCCCTTTCCCTCCCAGCCTCATTCCCTGAGCGCAGAATGAGGGTTTGAACTGTCAGTGATATTTGGAGCCCGAGTCCTATTGTAGTTTTAGTGCCTGTAGTGCTTTTGTAAATGAGATTGCAGATAGTGACCCACTTCTGCAGTCAAGTTTCTTTGTGCATTTCTGGTGCAGTGGGACTTGCCAGTGTTTATGTTTATAAAATCCAGGGCTGAAATCATCGGGAAAAGGAATAAGAATTTTAATGTTTATCCACTAACATGTTATTTAAAATAATTTAGGGGCTTTTACTTGATTGTTTTCTAGCGGAGATTTTAGAAAATGAAGGGAAGACTGCACATGGCTGGAAGATTGCACATGTTAAAGTAGTGAGGGAAATATTTCTGTGCTGTTTTCACCAGGCACTGCTTACATTCATGGAATGAAGCATGCCACTGGGAATTTCATTGTCATTATGGATGCTGACCTCTCTCACCATGTAAGTCTGTATTTCATGTACCATGGACTTAGTCTGTTAGAATTAAACTTTCATTGGTTGGTTTTATTTTACCCCCACCCTTTTGTCTTTTCTGATCTGTTTTCCTTCTATTTCAGCCCAAATTTATTCCAGAGTTTCTCAGGTAGGTGCCAATTGTAGTATGAAAATGCAAGTTGATCTTTATAAATTATTTATGAACTCCTGTGTGAAATTCTGAGCCATAGTGGGTAAAAGGTAATTATAAGATTCCCTGAAGTAGCTCTTTTTAAGAAAACAATTAACAAGTATCTAAATAATGCTTATAACCACCCTAATTACTGCTTTCCTCTCTTCTCTACTTACTTATTTAAAAGTTTGTAAACTTCACATTTTGTACTAAAAGAGTGATTGTTCTTACTTTGAAATTTGTACTTTGAAATATTCCTCCTGTTTTCCTGATAAAACCAATTGTTTATAGAAAGCAGAAAGAAGGCAACTTTGATATCGTATCTGGAACAAGATATAAAGGAAATGGAGGGGTACATGGCTGGGATTTGAGAAGAAAATTAATCAGGTTGGTATTTTTCAGATATTTACAGTTAAAATTGTTGTTTATAAACAATAATTACAAACACTCCATCCGCGTGAGCTGAACTGAGTCTTTAGTCAGCAGAACTGCTGTACCTGCTGAGAACTGCAAAATCACATTAAATACTACAGGTGTGCACCACTGGCAAATTGTGTGGTTCAAATCCACCAGGAAAGGATGAAATGACGTGGCTGGGCTTGAGAAATGGGTTGGAGCAGTGGGCAGATTTGCATCGTTGGGACAGCCCCAGTTCTGTCATCCAGAGAGTGAGCTGACATTGTGACACTTTTGTCAAGTTTAAAATACACATTTGGGTGGCTGTAATGGTCCTTCCCCTAAGCAGTGAATCCCTTGCTAAACTCCTCTGGTGACACTCTGGTGGTTTTCCGTATCCAAGTCTCACATTTGTCCAGGAAGCATTTTTATTCCCTACTTACAGTGTGTGTCAGTCAGAAGAAAAGTGCTGCTTTGATGGTTGTCACATTCATTTCTTTTAATTGTATGTGTAGACAGTTCTTCCATAAAGAACCAGGTTATAAACCTAATTTCTAAAAATCCTTGTTTTTTTCTTCATAGAGAAGTTCAGTAATCTACTAATTATCTGCTTTTGAAAAACAAAACGTTGGGTGTTTGATTTCAAGATTCTATAATTTATTAATCAAATCTAGCAATGAAAACACACTAGAAATCTAAATTTTTTTCATAGGAAGCAATAAAAGTTTTGTTGGGTTTTGGGAGGGGGGATGATACGTACTTATTTTTTAGAAATTCTACTTGATCTTTGGGAATTGTGTGCTGGGCAACTCTGACATTCACATTTTCTTTCCCAGCCGTGGTGCCAATTTTCTGACTCAGGTTTTGCTGAGACCAGGAGCATCAGACCTCACAGGGAGTTTCAGGTATGGCTCTGGTTTGCAATTAATAAAGTTCATTGGAAATTAAGAAATTGCTGAACAAGGAACTGGAATAAGAACAGCCCTTCTTTACTGAGGGCTGTGAAATCTGTTTGGGAAAGGTGGAAGAAATAGTGGACTAGATTGCAAGAACTGCTGCTCCTATGGCTTTGTTAAAGATTTTATAAATAGTAATGAGATGAGTGAGGGATTGCAGTTGAGATTCCCACACACTGCCTTGATTTCCAAATTTCAGAAAATTGTGCTTCAGGTTTCATTTTCTTTGTAACTGTTTACAGGTTGTACAGAAAAGAAGTCTTACAGAAACTCATGGAGAAATGTGTTTCTAAAGGCTACGTCTTCCAGATGGAGATGATTGTTCGGGCCAGGCAGTTGGGATACACCATTGGAGAGGTACAGGACAAGTTTGATAGGGATCTTGTGCTTTTGTGTAAAGGGACACACAGATTACTGAATTTCGTGTGCTCCCAAGAAGCAGCCAAGATTTTCAAAGTAATATAAAGAAATTACATGTGTAGAACTCTACTTTTCCAACTTCGCCAGGTGAATACCGGATCTGAATTTCCAGTTCCTTATTCCCCTGGCTGATAAGATTCTGAGATCCCTCCCTCTTCCTGTTGCCACTCCTTTAGCTGTAGACAATTTTACAAAGTTCTTCATATTCAGAAGTCATCTCCCAGCCAGGGGTGAGGCTGAGCTGTTCCATGGTGGTGGGAGATTTGTGCTTCCTGGGGCACTGACTCAAAGGTACTGAATTAACAAGGAAAGTGCTGGAGGTTGATTTTAAGCCCTCAGGCTTAAAACACTGAGGCTGTTCTGACTACCTACCACCCAGCCACCGAGTAATGCCTTGGGATCATCTCTAAAGGTGATAAGCCAAATAATTTCATGCTCCTCAGCCACTGGGAAGAACTGACACGAAGGAAGCCAGTCTGGTGCTTGCCTTGTTCCCATGTCTGAAAATGCTGTAGTTCAAAGGCCATTCTTTTGTCTAGAGAATCTCTGATTATTTAGGTTTTGAACCTTAAAAATAGTTCTGTTTGTTTCAACAGGTTCCTATTTCATTTGTGGACCGTGTCTATGGAGAATCCAAACTGGGAGGCAATGAAATAGTCTCCTTCCTAAAGGGGCTCTTGACCTTGTTTGCCACAACGTGATGGTTTGTCCTAAATTCACTTTTTTAGTCAAACATTTTCTGACATCTGTGTAGTTTTTATTATATAACAGCAGAAGCTTGATAATCTGTTGGTGACCAGAAGACCTGCTATAAGCTACCAATTAAACAAACCACCAGCAGTAAACTAAATCCACTGTCTCCCAGAATGCTCCTTCCAAAAGAAATCAACTGTACGTTAAACTAAAAACTAATAAAGGCTAATGATTTTCTATTTTTGTAAAAACAACGAAGTCTTAATAAAGAACACAAAGCTCAATGATCCTTTGCATTTGGAAATGAATCATTATTCAGCAGAAGCTAATGAGGATTCTGAAATAAAGACAAGCAAGGACAGGAAAAAAAACAACCCAATGGAATTTCTTATCTTTGTTCTGTGGTTTGTAGATATTAATTTAAATGAATGTCCTTTAAATTAGTGTCCTTTCTTTCCTCAGCACGTCTTAAAGCAGCTACATGTTTCTGCAGATCTGATAACACCTGGTGTAGTTTAAGAGTTAATACAGAGTACAGTGATTTGTTCCTAGACGGGAAGGAAGGAATATTC